AAACAACTGATAAGGAATAACGTTGGACCGATTAGGCAAGTTCCACCGGCCCGAGTATATAGGCCAACGTGTACACACATTTTAGATAGACAAGCACTCAACCAGCTATGTGTGGGTATACGCGTTAATAGGCAATACACTTCTCTCGTTAAAATTGGACCTCTCTGTATACGACCTCGTTAGTCGTGGATAATCGACTCCTCCGGACCTCCGGCCCCCGATCCCCATTTCAACTGAAATGGGTTCCGTCGGAGGTTCAGGGGAAACCGGAGGAGTCGATCATCCGACTGCACGAGGCCTATATGTAGAAGACCCAATTAAAACGAACGATTGATACTCTATCTAATGTAGCCTAGAGTACACGGGTGCTTGAGTGCTTGATGAGTGCTTGACTTTCTATATGTGGCGAACGCTGGCCATATATCGGAGGTTCGCTAGTCGGACTAACGTTATTCCTTTGATCCGACCTATCAGATCTCATCAGATTACAAGTTGATCTAACATTGAGCCAACGTCGACGCTGTCTTGACATGTGTACATAGCAATTGCAAAATCTGCGACATATTCTCCTCTTTCTCAGTGGGTCTGCCTTGTCTCCCCGCATAGTCACGTGAGACTGATGTGGCTAGGTCTGTAACAGGGACTGACCAACCTTGATAGGAAAAACCGTCCCCTGTCAGTCCCCGCTCTCGTATAAATTCCCAACATTTTTTTGCCTTTTTTGCCTTCCGACATAGGACTATTCTTAGGGACACCGGCAAATTTAATAAAAATGGCCTTTCTTTGGTTGATTTGGGTGTATTATGTGGTTCTGACATGTGAAAATGGCGATATCTGGTCTTATCTGCCCGCTTCCCCGCGGTGCCGGATCAAGGTCGGCCGTGGGGGGTTTTATGCTGTGGCACTGACAACGTAGCTCTGTGCTCTGTAACACTGTAATAGGAGTGACAGACTCGGCGTTGTTAGAGCAGCTTTGCATCAGGGATTTTGCATTCTCTGTGCATAATTGCATTGAATATATGTATGTATAAAATCTCGCCGGGAGACACTATATCGGACAATGCATGTCGTCTTCCCGGTAGTATATTATTTTCCGGGTCTCGGAAGAACCTATCCATGTCTGTGTATTCGATACTCTATACACACTTGTCGCTAGTAAGCTTCCCTTGTCTGATTGAATTTCGTTGACGTGATTCTGGAAGTATTTAAATTTACTATATAGTCTTCTCTAAGAGTAAGACCGGTACATACGACCATAGGGTGTGGAGAACAGGGCTTCCCGTCCGCTCAGCCGTACTTAAGCCACACGCCGGCCGGTTAGTAGTTGGGTGGGTGACCACCAGCGAATCCCGGCTGTTGTATGTTTTTTTTTTTTTTGCATTTTCTCATTGCCGCTCAAGGGTAATCGAGGTAATCAATGGGTGAGTAGAACCAATGAGCCATGCAAATCCGGACGACCTTGAATAACCTTGGCTGGTACCTCAAATATGGCAGTGCGTTGCATCGCGGCGCTGAATTTGGGACACTTCTGACCATCGTTGGGTACCTGCTTTAACAACGCCTCAGGTCGCTCGAATCGCTGATATAGGCCGGAGTAGTTCAACACTATTTCTATGATCCGTGAATTTCCAAAACAACCCTTTCGCTTTCCATTTAGATAGCGTGAAGTGATATAGGACCATTAATTGGTTGGAACTTGTCGTCTCGCGCCTTTGGTTCGATGAACAACATTAGCGACGTCGTCCCCTCGGTTAGCGTCCACCGATAATGGCCAAATAGTTGTAAGCCTACTGTCCTCGGCAGGTCAGTTGCTGGATTTCATGGCTCTCTTGCATGGCCCTCACTGAAATTGTAGGGGCAGGGTGGTCACGGAATACCTAAATGAAAGAGTGAAGCACCACCGCCTGGAGTACCTTGACAGGATGAAAGTCGATTGCTTCATTCGCCGGTTCAAGCAAAGTGGCCGTTGATATTTCGTTAAGTGAAAATCCTGCTTTGATTGTTTCACTGTATGTGTTGCCGTTGACATGTCTTCATCTGAGTACACTTCTGATATGGGCGCATGCTAGGTGGTTTGCAGCACAGGAAGCAATTCCAGAATTTGTGTCCTGCTGCTGTTTAGACCTTGTTTGCAAATGGACAGTTACGGTATCACCTTCTGCATTTAAAGGATATGGTTGGTTAGAATAAAACAAAATAAACTAAAAGTGGTTGGTAATAGTTTTAGTGAAGAAAATATGTATATGTGTTTTGCGCAAGGATGTGCATTCAACAAATAAACTCACAGTTTATTTGGAATATCTAATGGAATAATCTCGAATTATATACGAGCTCCCTTCTGCCCCAAGTAACCCCATACAGCAACAAAGGCAAACATGTCTTTTTTCCCTTGTGCTTTAAGTGCTCCGCATTAGAGCTTTTAGCCCATCGGGATAGGACCCAACAAGTTCCTTAAATTTGGGCCCCGTATTTGAAAAGAACAAAGGTTGGTATTTGACGTATACCAACCTCCGTAGCAATTTTAACTTGTTCATCGATATCAATCTTATAGAAATCGACCTGAGAGAAAGCCTTATCGTTTGAAAGTTTCTCGAATTCAGGCGATATAATTCGGCAAGGGCCACACCAAGCGGCCCAGAAGACAACTACAACGAACTTGTATCTGTTTATAATCCTGGAGAATTCATTGTGCCTACCGTATTGGCGACATTGGCACTGGAGCAATACTATCCCCGGGGGTCGGGTGGAAAATGTTTTGACGGTTACTTACGAGTTAATGGCTTTAACAGGCATCTTGGATGAGGGTTATTCTCCAGAACTGACAAATGGATGATTCGTATAATTTGAAACAGGACGAAGTGGTAAATAAGCAAAGACAAAACGAATCAAAACGAATCAAAATAAAATGGGAAATCAACAATATATAACGCAACACTCCAACGGAAAGAGCGCCATCAGTGATAGGAGGGATGAAAAAGCCTTCTTTGTGATTAGCATGTATATAGACATTGACACAGGTCACTCAACACTCACCTCAGTTGACACTCAACTCGACAAACCCAATCATCACTCAATGACACTCGCAACGCGCTCTTCCAAACAGACAGAAATCCTCTACATCCCTTAACGAACAACCATGAAACCCGCTCTGACAAGTAGCCGCTTCCCCTTCGCAGCGACAAATGCGCGTACAGTCTTCCGCCGTAATAGCACCGTTACGGCACCGGCCGACAGTCTGTGGAGCAGCATGGCACTGTAGTCCGCCCGGGCCGCGGAAGACCGGGGGTGCTGGCTTATGTCCTCCGAGGTCTGGGGGTGGGGAGGGCTTTTTGTTGGGGATTGGTTCAGCCAACGTGGTAGTGGTGAGGAGAGAGGCGATGACTAGGAGAGGGAGTTGGATGCGCATGGTGGACGATTTGTTTGTGGATATGTAGAAGTGTAGTAGGAATGGAGATTTGAAGAGCTTGGTATGTTGTGGAGTTATCCGTAGAATATAGATAGATGCTGAGAGGTATTTGATGATGGATGATGATGGATAAATAATGAGAATGACACAAGGGAGAATAGCTGCTATTTATCTTCTTCAAACCGAAGCATAGCATGTTCATAAGGCGGATTTCCTGTTAGACAATCTCCTGCTGGGAACGTGGAGGATAGGGCTCTCAGGAAGGTGGATGAGGCTCATCACAGGCCGAAAACAGCTCATAAGGGTCCATCACATACTAAGCTGTGATATGATCGTCAAAGGATGACAGCGGTGTCACGGAGTATGGGCATTCACCAACAACGCAAGATGTTTGTAAACTTTGGCCTGTTTGAATATAGGGCAGGAACCCCCTTCGCACATTAGATAGCGCAGCGCTGGCAGGCCCAGCTTCTTCCTTTTCCTTCTCCATGTTAGTATTTCGATAGAGAGTCTACCAATAAATTTATATTGTTCGAGACTGTCACAAGCGGCCCCACCCGGGCTGAGAGTTCAGGGTTCAAAAAGTATGGCCTAAGGCTGATTTTACGCATGTTCTTCCTATATTGTTCTATTAAAATAATATGATACAACCTTCAAGTTTGATGAGAACACGATTTGGAGAGAAATTGATGGAATTTTCTCCAACTCTTATTTGGCAGAGCATGGGTTATCCAGAAAGTTGCAGCAGCAGAAGTGACTGTGTTCCGTGGGAAATATAGTATGCCATGGCCAATCTTTTGGGCCGCATACCTGGGGCGAATTACATTAGCTTTCAAACAAGCGGTGCCATCTGATGCAGATGTTTGGGGTTCCAACGTCTTTGCTGTGAGGGGCGCTCGAGAAAGGTTTAGAAAACAGGATTCCTCAGATCTTGCTCAGGTGTTGGCCACTCTTACATATTCAAAGAAGACTAAACCGTATGATATGTCTATGCTGCCTTGGGACTTGCTAGACTACCTCCAAACCATCATTTCCTTCAAAACCAGTACAAGCAAACCACAGAACTCTTTATCGGTGTTGCCTCTTTCATTATCAATAACCGGAATGATCTAGTTAGTGTCTCTCCCGCGTAAAATAATCTTACTTAGCCTGCCCCATAACGGTAACAGCAAGCAGGAGATATACACAAATCAAACGACCTAGCCTAGACCATACAAAGATATACAATATGGGAACTATCCTGACAAAAGAAAATCATGTAGTCATCAAGAGGTCATCAAAAGGTCATAGAGTCATCAGCATCGTACGAAAGGCAGAAACAATCAAAGGGAGAGAAAGAGGGATTCTGCGTTCCATCAATGGTTGGTTAAGAAAAACTCGGGATGAATTTCTTCGTTGTCACCATTTAGGATTCGAACGCGGGAATAATCTTGGGAAAAAATTATCCGCCATAGTTTGGGCACCGAATCTTTGGACGTCAGTCATGAAAACTCCACTAGAGGAAGTAAAGGTCCTTACAAAGTTTGCGAGGCATTGAGCGCCTACAGTCCAATATCAGCCAATCAGTGAGTAGGCCTTGTAGGATGGACTGGTGATATGTTCCCTGTGGTTCGAATCTTTTGCAATGTTCCAAAAGCCGGTCGCCGTCACGTAGAAGTTCGAATCCCCAGCCAGGGGTGATTATGTGGAAATCAATGCGCCCCTGACCGACGCATGACCTTTCAGAAACAATACCTACACCTGGGCCGACTTCTTCAGCAAAACATCTGTAGAATTCATCCTGATAGGCCGCCTCAACAGGGCGTGGTTTCCCAGAAGGGCCATATCGTTGGCCCCGTTCCGCCATGCAAAGCATCGTCCTCGAGAACCTCTGCAACACTTTCAATGCTAAGGCCTCAATATTGGGATAGCTAGTGACCGGGAAAGGTTTCATCATAGACAGGCCATATGTATATTCAACAAAACTGCATTTTATAAGCCTCGAAGTAGTTCAAAGAATGTGGCTAGGAGACAGCAACTTACCGGGCATGCAGAAAAGAGGGCAAAACACAGATCATATAACCTTCTTCGGGCTCGTCCACATGAATGAAGCCCAGTCTGAAACACTTTTCCAATGCATCATCATTCCTATTGAATTCGAGGCTCCCATGGGTCAAGATGCGCAACAGCACACCGACAATTAGGGGGTCAATACCTTGCAATCTCGCTTTTGATGGAAGACTCCTTCCCGCGACATCATAATTAAGGAACTTGAACAACTCGCGGTTGTTTTCTAACGCGTCGCCAACATGCTGGTATGTTATGTGCGAAACGCCAGACCGCTTGAGATGATCTCGGTAAAACTATTAGATATAACATTAGCACGGTAATTATACCAGAATTCGAGAACATTGCAAAAATACCAACGCCACATATCGGAGCATCGCTCCCACAAGTCCGGGGTGTCCATTTGTCTGTTCGAAAATGTAGCTCGCGACATCTTCACCGATTGTGTGGTCGGTGGTGTCAGCCCATTTTTTTACGGCGTCTTTAAATTCCTCTTGTTTGTAGAATAAACAGAGATCATGCCCAACGTGATCGTGAGGGGCTATTAACGAGATTCTTTGCTCCCTTTTCAGAATCGGTGGGGTGGTTGTTTTCGGATAATCAGGAGAGCCGGTACTTGGGCTGCCATACGATGTAAATAGGCAGAACCGTGGGCCTTTGGTGGCGGCGAGGCGCTCTTTGATTACTGAATACCAAAAAAAGGAATCAGAATAAGTTACCTGCGCTTCGTCTAAGATGAAAATGAGGTCGTCATTCGCCTCATTCAAAAATTCTGCTCTCTGAATCTTGTGCCCTAGTTGGTGACACTGTCGAACCAGAAAACCAACAGTGTCCATATTGTTTTCCACCCAGTCTTTCCAGTCGGCAGCAAAGACAATCTTTGGCTGTCGCTGAGTCAAACAATGTCGAGAATAATGCCGAAAAAGAAGTTTTGCCATTGTGCTTTTACCCGATGCCGGTGTTCCGCGAACATGAATCACGGCATGCTCATCAATTAGACGGGCGAGCGTCTTGATAGACCTTGTTCGCGGGGATATGGTATTGGAGAGCCCCGTATCTGCAAGTTGTATAGCAGGAACAGACGAAGAGGAACCGGTCGATTTTGGTTCGAGTGTGGAAAGCTTATGGGCCAAATCAAACAAGTGATCTAAAAGAGAACAGATGAGCACGTGTACTTTGTATAATGAATGAAACACAATGTACCTGAGACATCTTCATGCTCTACCAAGGGATGGTCGCACGTTGAGCACAGCTCGCTCAAGTCAATGGATGTGGATGGATGTAAATGGACGCCTGCTTTGCAAAAGCAGTGAAAACGCCCTTCTTGAATCGTCACGCGGCATGGACCGAACATTGTAATCACGTTCCTTTGATCATCTTCCTTCGCTGTTTTTGACGCGCCTAAAAGCCACCTTAGCCAGGCAGCCATGATGTATGAGTTTCCGGATAGAAAAGGGCCATATAATCGCAAAATAAGTGATATGATAAGAACGAGGCAGGAACGTTCCTAGTGGAAGGCCATTGCGGAACGAGTGGCATGTGAGAGAGAGTGACGCCAACGTTAGTACCTTTTTGGTGTGTAATGGATGGTTGATTGGTTGGTGGCCTATCGGCTAGACTAACTAGTAGTGTGTGTGTGTGTGTGTCTCTATTTAACGTCGAGGGTCGGGTCTTTCCACGCCTCCACGGCTCCTTGGGAGCCTCGGAAGCGGAAAAGCCCTGGTCCCGGTGCGGGACATACGACGGGCAGATCGGAACTGCCTTTCTTCTAGCTAAACTACCATCTATCATCTAAATACAGGTAGCCCCCCGCGCGGGGAGCTGCTTGGGTTTTCCAACTGTTAAACAGCAAACTTCGCATCTTGGGATTTTTTTTTTTTTGAAAAGGAAACCGTGGTGGGAGGAAACAGAAAAGAGGGGGATGAACTAAAGGGGAAACAGGGGGGAGAGAAATGCCTGAAAGGAGGAGGAATGGAGGAGGAGGGAGTCAGAGGTAAGCCTATGAGTTCCCAGATTGATGCGTTTAGCATCCTAATGGCGTTTACAGATGGCTGTGTAAAACTGTGATTTCCCCAGCCAGTCTGCATATTGTCACGGGCTCGGTAGCTAGTAGATATTAACGAATTGATATTCCTATCTAAACCAACTAGTAGCCATCGACGGGAATATCGAATCTGAAGAAGCAAAAGGAAAGGAATTCTATCTAGCAGATGAAGGGGTTATTTATAGATGACTGTACGGTATGGTTCTATCCATGTCGACTTTGTTCGATTCGTTTGTCATACTTAGTCGTAGACACAGCGTCGAGTCGTCGACACGACGTCAAACCGTAGACACGACGTCAAGCCGTCACATAACCCCCCTCCTTAGGCGGAGTCTGTCCTCAGGCTTCAAGTTGGTGTGTTATCGTGAGGGTGATCCTTAATCTCATCAATTCCGTCTTCCCAGGCTCTTAACCACTCAGGCAAGCGCCGCGGTGGTCCCGGCTCATCAGGGTATTTCTGATGGTAGTCGCGTATGCGGTGTGGAGAACCTTTGAAATTTCCTGCTGAATACCATGTTTGATCCTCATCAAATCCTATCCACTTTACCTGATACTGCAGTCGGCGTCGGTTTATCTGAGACGCAAGGACTTCCTCCACTTCCCATTCCTGTTCATCGCCAACAACGATTGGTTCTGGTGGTTCAACCACCTGTCCTGGCAAGGGATCATTGCTGGCGCGTCGTAGTTTGTCTGGTGAGAAGATTGGATGGATCTTCATTGTTCTCGGAAGTTCCAAGCGGTAGGAGTTTCCAACTCGCTCAAGAATCAGGAAAGGTCCAGCCATCTGGCTAGCCAGTTTCTTGTTGGGACGGCTTGTCTGATAGTGCCGTAAGGAAAGCCATACCTGATCTCCCACATCAAAGTCAGCCGGACGCCGTCTGCGATCTGCCTGCTTTTTCTGCTGGTCTTGGGCCTTCCTGATCCGGTTTCCTACGGCAGCCCATGTCTGCTCCATCCTCTTTGCCATGTCCTGGGCTCGTTGTCGACTAATTCGCTCATCACTTGGGAGAGGCCCCTCTATCGGTGTCCAGTCAAATGAGGTCCGGGGTTCATATCCACAATCGACCAGGAAAGGCGAGGCGTTAGTTGACTCAGAGGGCAGAGCAGCGGCAGCGAAATCAATCAATGGCAACAGGTCTGACCAATTGTCCTGGTAATGATTGATGAAAGGCGTCAGTCGATTCACAATATGCTGGTTCACAATCTCTGTCTGTCCATCAGTCTGCGCGTGATAAGCGGTGGAAAGTTTCAACTGGATTCCAAGGATTCGACATAGCTCATTCCAAAACGCCGATATGAATTGGGGTCCACGGTCTGAAACAATGGTTGTTGGGGGTCCTCTATGACGGTAGACATGTTCAATGAACATGCGAGCAACATCTTCAGAGGTGGCAGTCTTATTACATGGTATACTGATAGGCCTCTTGCTGAATCGGTCCACTATCACTAGTGCAGCATCGTATCCTTTTTTGTCAGGGGGGAAAGAACGGAAATCCATAGAGATGTGCTCCCAAGGGCGTTCTGCAATGGGCAAGGGTTGGAGTAGTCCAGGAGCATGGTCTCGTGGATTTGCTGCTCTTCGACACTTTGAGCAGTTCCGCACATATCTCTTGACATCTTGTCTCCAGGTTGGCCAGAAGTATCGCGTTTGGATGAGCCGTTGGGTCTTTGTTCTCCCTGGGTGTGCAGTAGACACCTGTGTATGTACTTCATCAAGCAACCGAGTACGCAGCTCTGGATCATCATCAGGTACAAACAGTCGGTTACCCTTCAGTAGCAAACCATCTTGCACAGTCCAATCATCCACTCCCTTCTGGGCCTTATCACGGTACCCTTCTGCAGGTGTTCCTCGGTTTGCCTTGAGCACCTGGTCAACTGTTTGCAAGGTGGGTTCCAGGGCATTAACCTGTGCACACTGCTCGACTGATCCAGGTTTCAACATGATCTGTTGACGGTACTCATCCTTCCTCTGTATCTCAGTTGTCGGTCGACTCAGGGCGTCTGCAAGAGTGTTCTCTCGTCCAGGTCGGTATCGGATCAAGAAGTAGAATTGAGAGAGGAACTCAGCCCATCGGGCTTGTCTAGCATTCAGTTTCTTCGTTGTCATGAAGTATTCTAACGCTCGGTGGTCGGTATAGATATCAAAGCGTTTACGGAGTTGCAACCCTTCCAGTTCAGCACGCCACTCCTGCAATGCACGTATGATGGCTAGCATCTCTTTGTCGTGGATTCCATAGTTACACTCAGCATCCGACATGCTCTTCGAGTAATAAGCAACTGGGTGCCAGAGGTCCTCCTGCCTCTGAGAAAGAACCCCTGCCACCACTCCATCTGATGCATCCGTCTCCAGTCTCGTCTCTAGGTCAGGGTGGTAATGCCGTAGTATTGGGGCGTCTGTTAACCGCTTCTTCAACTCTTCAAAGGCTTGTTGGCATTCCCCTGTCCACGATGTAGTCACGCGCGGCTTCCAGCTCTTCATTTGTCTGCTTGTACAGGGGGCTGTAGCTCACAGCTGACTCTCCAGTCTTCCCCTCTTCCAGTTCAATGCGGTAGTCATTCGCTCTTCGGGGAGGCAACTCGTCAGAGGCTGCCTTGGAGAAGACATCAGCATACTCTTGATACTGCTGCGGTAGCAATTGCTGCACTAGTTCCTGCTCCTGACAGTCCTCTCCATGACGTTCCTCAGCCCGCTTCTCTTCAATAATGCGGTCGATTTCAGACAGACTGGTGATAAAGATCTCAGTATCCTTCTTCTTCAAGTGCCGCTGGAATGGTGCTGCTCCAATTGCTGCAATATCAATCTGGGTTGCTTGTTGGCCTGTTGTCTTCTTTCGGGGCCTCTGACTAGTGGTGGCTAATCGGGGAGAATCCCCCGATTCTGCTGATTGGTCAGTCGTTGAAACGGATAAACCAATAAGGCGGTTAACTCCGAGTCGGGGAAGTCGGGGAGTCGATTATCCGGACTGCACGAGGCTATATATGAAGAAGAAACTTAGATTATACGGAGGGTGACAATGATATCTATAGACACTGTAGATGGTAGAATGAGTGCTTGGCTATCTAAACGAGTGTGTGTGTCCGTATATGAGGGATCTGCCGGCCTCGGTAATCGGACAAACTATTGATCCACCTCGACTTTCATCACTCCCCTTCGTACAATCGCCGCGAACATCAACCTAACTAATAAGGCA